AGTCTTCTCTTCTCATGAGATGGCCAAAGTATTGGAGCCTCAGCTTCAGGATCTGTCCTTCCAGTGAGCACTCGGGGTTGATTTCCTTCAGAATGGATCGGTTTGTTCTCCTTGCAGTTCAAGGGGACTCTCACGTCACGGATGTTGCTGCATCCCAATTAGTTACAGGCCCCGTTCAAAAAGCCGGCCTTGATCTTTAAAACCTTGAAAGGTCTGCAACCACAGGACCCTCAGGATCACACACAAACACCCAATTTACATCAAGCAACTTGGCAAAATAGTACCCTTTCATTGACTGCCCCGAGACAGGGGCAAATATCAGGTAGAAGACCTGCAAAATGAGATTTTTGGGGTGATTGAAATATTTTTACAAAATTATGTGGTTGGGATCAAATCCATCCTGCCTGCCCAACATCCTCACGAAAGCATTCAGTCTGTTAACACCCACACGTTTCACAGGACACTTGAAATGGGTAGGGAAGTCACTACTGCCTAGCCGCCATTTAAACAGCTATTTTGCTCTACGGCTGCTGAGGGTACCACCTTATCGCTTTATTACGTTTTGACATCTAGAAGCTGACATGCATATTCTTTTTTTTTTTTGCAAGGAAGCCCAGAAGGTGCTGCAAGTATTTTAAATAAACCATTAACCCCGACCCTCTGGGAAAGGCGTCTCTGTTCTGCAGCTTTACACGATTGCTGGCTCACAGGGCTTGGTTTCAGAAAACGTACAACAAGGGGTGTGATGGACATTACATTGCTTCCGTGCACATGTTCGAAGCAACCCAGTCCTGCTTCTGGAGTGGAAGCATCAGCCAACGGATTTGGGGGATGTGTCCTCGCTTGACTTCTGCCTCTGTACCTCCTGCCACACCGGGGACAGCCTTTTAAAGATAAGCACACAGGTATAACACAGCTGTGTCCATTCAACCTCTTCCTTCTTCTGGAAATAATAGGCAGGCATACTACGTCGTTTGCCTTGGGAGGGGGGGTGTTTCACATCAAAATCCGCTTACGCAGAAGTTTTTGTCTCCCTCCTCCCGGCTCTGTTTTCCCATCCCAGTTCACCTTCCCTTCCCACCGTATTTACATCTCCAAGTTTCAGGATCCAACCACAGAGCATTTCAAACCGATTGAGAGATTCATTCACGTTGATGCCCGGTGGAAAAAAACACACTAAGCTTTCAGTACAAAGGAGAGAAACCAACAGGCCAGGCTTGTAATCTCCTGGGGCTGCAGTGGAATCTCTTTGTGCTTCTGTTTTGGGCAACACAACAGCCAATGCAACACCAAAGACAGTCATTTTAAGAGTTGTTTGGTCACAGCTGGGATGAGTCTGTGGAGCCAGGGTGACCGGTCCTGGTGGGAGCTGGACTTCAACATGACTTAATATGATCACCTAGATCTACTCGAATCACTGGTTATAGCCAGGAAAGACAGCTGAGAGGCTTAATGCTGAGGGAGGCCCGGAAAGAAAGACCAAGAAACCGGGCCTTCTCAGCAGTGGCCCCTCAAGTTTGAAACAAACTCCCGTTGGAAATTCGCCTGGCTCCCTCGCTGGGTGTCTAATGCCGATGGAGGCCCGGAAAGAAAGACCAAGAAACTGGGCCTTCTCGGCAGTGGCCCCTCGACTTTGAAACAAACTCCCGTCGGAAATTCGCTTGGCTCCCTCGCTGGGTGTTTTTAAGAGCCAACTTAAGACCTGGCTCTTTAGGCAAGCCTCCCCCCCCCCCATGCCACTTCCTGATTTTTCTTTTTCTTTCCACTGTCTATCCTGATTTCCATCTTGAATGCTACCAATATCACTGCTTAAATTGTTCCTTTTAATTATGGTTTTTATGCTATTTTATTGTAAGCCGCCCAGAGTGGACGTAGTCTAAATGGGCGGGTTATATATTTAATAAACAATAAATAAATATATCAAATACAATCTAAAACAAATACCTTGGCCCTGAGAACAAGCTGGGATACCACCGGTTCTCCCGCCCTGCTTTATAAGAAACGACTCTTAATGCCAGGGAAGGCCCAGAAAGTCATATATCAAAGACAATCTAAAACAAAATACCTTGGCCGTGAGAACAAGCTGGGGATACCACCCGTTCTCCCGCCTTGCTTTATAAGAAACGGCTCTTAATGCCAGGGAAGGCCCAGAAAGTCTCCTGCTGATTGCTCAGGGTGACAGGAAAGGCACAGAATGCAAACTTGCTTCCTGTTGGCAAACCGAGTCACCCGAACTCAAGCACCACCACCCCCTCGCATCTTGCATTGTGTTTTGCTGCTGACTCCATGAAGCAGGATGTGATTTCTTTCGCAAAGCATCCTGTGACTCCTTTTAGAGCCTCTGCCACCATCTCAGCCCGGAATATACCCCGTCTCGTCTGATTTCGTCGATCACATTGGGCGGGGAGTGAGAACCTGGACGGGAGGCCATCAAATAAACACCAGGGACTTTGAGTGAAGGTTCTGGGAGAACCACGGTCGAAACACTGGAGGGCCGTTACCTGTGAAAGCCGACAATGCCAGGCGAGAAAGATCAACGGTCTGATTCAGTGTAAGAGAGTTCCTTGCACTCTCTCACCCGGAGTTTAATCCTCTCCCAGGCCTACAGGATGCTAGGGTTACCCCGCAATGGGATGATGGAGGGGATGATGACTCAAGTATGGTTAAAGTCTAGCTATCCTGGATAACACGGGGGGAAACGAAAGCGAAAAAGAGGTTCCCATCTTCCTGGGCAAGGGAGAGGAAGCGATCTATCTGTGGATGGAAGCGTTCAGACCAAGCTGAAGACGTCCGCTTACGTGTCTTGGGTCTTTCGGGTCCAGCGTGTCTAGAAAACTCTGCAGGCCCTCCACTTCCTTTTCTTTCCTGGCTATTTCCCGCCTCTGCCTTCCCAGCTGCTTCTCTAGTTCCAGAGCTTCCTCCCGGAGCTGATTGAGGAGGAATATCTCGCTGCTCAGCTGCTGGCGAAGACCATCCTTTTCCACTTCTGCCATCTAGATGGAAACACGGGGGAAAAGGGGCCTTGAGCTTACAGAGGTCCAGAGGATGCAGTGAAACATGATCTAGTTATTTAACCCACGAAGCTGAATCGGATCCAGTTCAAGGTGCACGTCCCCAGATTCGTTGGTCTTGGAAGTCCGTTTACTCCCAAGCAAACAGGCACAGGAGCTGGGGACTGCAACCTTTGCCGTTTTGTGTGTCTGCACAATCGCCACTTTACCTTGGCAAACACTGCTGTCAAGTGCGAGATTTAAATATGGAAAACATTGCACCTTGTGCTGCAGGAGAGTCAACCGGTGCGATAATGTCTTCCTCTGGAAAGCCTGAAACTTGACAATTATTCACTGGAAAACAGACCCACAACGCGGTGCCTACATCTCTGCAGATGTTCCACATAGCTGTCGACCCATACGTACCTTTTTCTGACCCACAGCATCTTGGACTTGTTTCAGCTCTTCCGCGGCTTTTAAAACACGTCGCTCTGTGTTTGCTACTTCCTCCTGCAAATCAGCCAGTTTTTCTTGGGCTACAAAGGAGAAAAATAGAGAGAGATCACACAGGACTCTCCCAAGTGCTGACGCGTCTTATTTTAAATAGCTCTTTCTGAGAAGTCGAAAGTAGACCCCAGACCAATGAATGCAGGCACATCGAGGCTTTCGCAACCTTCTTCCACGAACAGGTTATCTATAATCTACAGGCTGACACAGACATTGACTAAGGCTGGGAAAGATGAAGAGAAAATTATAGACAAGCATGGGATCTAATGAGGAGGTGGTGGTGTTGTGATTATGGGGATTAGTGAGCCCTGCGGCACAGTGGGTTAAACTGCAGTACTGCAGTGAAGCCTCTGCTCATGATGCGAGTTCAATCCTGATAGGGGCAGGTAGCCAGCTCAAGGTTGACTCAGACGTCCCTTCTTCCAAGGTTGGAAAATTGAGTACCCAGCTCAGATGGGTGGGGGAGACAAAGTATTCCTTGTGTAATTATGATGCTAACTGCACAGAGAGTGATCTAGCGCTATGCGGCAGTACGGAAGTTGAAACGACAGTAACCATCAAGTCTGTGATGGCCTTCTCCCAACCGGAAACCCTCTAAGCTTCCTATAGCTCCCATCGTCCACAGCCAGTGAGAACAATGAGGATGGCGGGTCAGCGGGTCTACAGAGCCC